CTCACTGTCGTCGCTGGCTCTCTTTGTGTCTGTGTGCCTCAGGCAGTGGCAGTATGCGGCGGTGGTGTGTGTGTGCGCCCGCCCGTCTGATAAGAGCATGAAGCAGCAGCAGCAGCAGCAGCTGCGATGGCAACTGTATGGCGACTGTGTGGCACAGCACCTCGACAACCTCAACAACCTCAACAACCGATGGCGATCTTCAGTGTTATTTTTGTTGGCAACACGAGTTGATTGCTCGCGCATGTCTCACTTTTTCTGACGCTTTTGGCTCTCGTTTCTCGCTCTTTGGTGTCGTGTCTCGTGTCTTGACTGACTTTTGTCACTTTGTTGTCGCTCTTCAAACATCTTTTGGGGACTCGAGTCTCGTGTTTGCCCAAGACTTAGCCCACCCGCCCGGACCAACTGAGAAGTGAACAACCGAGCGTGAACCAGCCGAGGGGCCAATTTCCTTCTGGCAGATGCCAATCTATTACGAAACCCTTCGCCATTAATCTCAATAATATCAATTGGATATACACACCCATACACACTCACACAGAGCCACACTTAAGTGCACTATCAATTGACTGGGAGCCATGCATCGCTCTGATATCTCCAGTAGTCGCGCTGGAAGCCATAGAAAGGCTCTGGATCAGCGCACTCGACAGCAGCAGCACCGCACTGCAACAGCACCAGCAGCATCAGTCAATGTGAGCGAAACAAAATGCATAGTCTAATGGGGGCTTAGGTTTAGGTTCAGGCTAAAAATCGTTAAGAATATAAGTCTGCAGACCCCACAAAAGATCTAGTGATCACATGCAGAATCTATAAAAGACCTCAACTTCCAGGTGCTTTTAGATCCCCAAGATAAGTTTGAATCAGTGCCTTTTCATGGAATCCCAGACTCATCGTTGTACGAGTATTATCTCTGCAGTATCTAAGCAAACTGATAGCCATGTTCCATGTGATCTCCAGCTAATATATTTCTTTGAAATTCGTAATGTGTGAATTAAGATTTGCAGGAGAAAGAAAGAGTTTACTAATAGCCGTAGAGGTTTCACGATTTTAGAAACGTTTTCTTCAGTGGATACTGGCTTCAACCGGCCAGAGTAGCTCTCATACAATATTACGCGTTTCTTTTCGCTGTTTTCCTGTTTTGCATTTTTCTGCCACACAGCACAGGCGATACCCAGAGATTTTTCATGAATAAATGAATATTAATTGAATATACTCGAGCATACCGCGAGTCTCGCCCCCCATGCAAATTGCTTCTTGGGGAGTGCAGGAGACTCTCCTGCATGTCCATCAAATTAACAGCAGCGTTTAGTGATCCACGCAGGCGCAACGGCCGCAACAGCAGCAGCAACAGCACTTGCCACTTGCTGGTGTGGTGTGCCACTTTGGTGGATTGGTGGTACCAAGCAGTCTCGCCATCGAATGTTTGCTGCCGTTGTTTTTGCGTTCCTAAGCACATTTTAGTTTCGCTGTAAAAAAGTGTCTTCATATGGCCATTGGCAAACTGTTGGCCCGCACGGGGGAGCACCGAGCGAGGGGCACAGCACTGAAGAGCAGCCACTGGGGGGGCTGGGGCTCTGGGGCTCTGGTTGGGGCTGGTAGTTTGCGTTTCGGCTTTCGGCGGCCTGCCATGCTTGCGTAGCCAAGCGTTACACAGACAGACAGAGAGACAGGCTATATCGCAATATATACATATATACGAGTATGTACCCACTCTCCTGAGCAGTACATATGTACTTATGGTGTGCATGTACAATGCACGCGTTTGTTTGGCCACAGTTTTGCAGGAATAGCATTGTCGCTGTCACTGTCGCTGTATATCTATCTGTATAAGCCGTATAAGCCATGGTATACACACATGAGTATATCTTCCGATAACACTTCTCGCATTCCAAGACAATTCTAAGGGGGTAAGCTGATAAGAAGTCCCCAAGCGACAGCCAGCTGGACTTGAATCTATTCTTTTAATAGAGCAAAATAATTAGGAATATGAATCGACTATAAGATGACCCCTAATGAGGGTTTATTCATACACAGTTCTAATATTAAACGAGTGCTAGAGTGGAGTTAATGTTGCAGGGCGTAAAGAAAACACTGTTGGTATTTCCAGTTGATCTCTTGGCTCTCTCTGGCTGTCTATTACAACGGATAACGATTCTTCATCTTCATCGAAACTTCAGTGCTGTTGGGCATTGTTAAAAAACGGTGTTTAGTAATGCTGGGAACATCCCCAGAGACCGCCTGAGACATATACCCTTCGCGGTGTGTGGTAGCCGGGTACTACAATAATTATAAACTATTGCGCAAAAAAGAATTCACAGTCCGTTTGTCTGTTATAATTGCCATTATTATTTTTGGCTCATGACTTCATTCAATGTCGCCTGGCCGGGGCAGAAACAAAAACATCGGATCGGCCACACCAGCACCAGCACCAGCAGCAGAACAGACCCAGGCAGCACAGCAATCAAATCAAAGTTGAATAGTGAACAATCAGACAACAATCAACAACATGGCAATTGAGAGCCAGAGGCGTGCGTGCGACTCGCTCCAATGATTCAGTTATATGTATACACATACATATACATACATACTTATAGTATATTCACGTACAGATTGAGTGTGGCATTTGAATAATGGGAAGAGTTGTATGTAAGGCACGGCACACTCTCGACTTGAATTGATACAAAGCGTCGGCCGACAAATAAAATCAATTGGCAGCTAATCAAAAGCCAAATGCAAACAAATTGCCAGCACAAGCTGCCAGCCATCCAGTGACGCTGACACAGACGTTGACGTAGACAGCGACAGCATCAGCGGCAGCATCAGCGACAGCAACAGCAACAGCGAAATCGACGATAACGATGATGATGATCGAAGACATGATCGAAGATCGATTAAGGCAATCGCGTTCGTTGGCTCCTTTTTGTGGTTTCTGTGGTCAACGATGAAGTCATTTATTTCATTCATTCATTCAACAGTGCCATTCAACAGCTCTCCTTCAACTTTCCCTTGCCCTACCCTTGATGGTCCCGCTGCTCCACCAACCGCCCTCCTGTTACATTATCTCTGACGCTGGTCGCATATCGATTATACAATTTATGCGGCCGGCAAAAGAGCGTTAAAAATAAATGCATGCACCGAAACCCAAACATGCCGCAGATGCCAATGATGCCATAAATCGTGCAACTTGAAGCCAATTAGCACTGTCCAAGTCGAACTGGAAATCGAACCCGATACGGTACGATACGCTCTGAACCCATGCCCATGCCACCGCGGAACAAACCACACAGTATGTACTGTGGAAATCCGACTACTGAAGAGCTTCCTCATGCCACAGCCCAGCTGTTGCACTTTACACGATGCGACACCAGCTCGCGCACACACTGCTGTGACGTACCGTACTCGTGCTCCCGCAAATAAAAAAAACGCGACACTTGGCCACAACTTGCACTTTTCACTGCCTTACACGTGCGCTCTTCCACAGCTGCTAATTAAGTCTATTGATTGCTCGAGATGAAAGCTGGAAATAGGGGGTAGCAGTTAAAGGTTAATTATGATGCCGGATCGAATTCATCTTCAGTGTTGATCGACAGCCTACTTTTAGGGGCTTGTAGGGGCTCCCAATTAATAGTCACTCGAAAATAGAGAAAAGACTCATTAAACGATCGAATCGTTGCTCGAGATACAAATATATGCATGTTTATACGTATATATGTATGTATGTTATTGGCTAGGCCATTTGGCAAGCGACTGATGAACTTTCTTAGAATTCCCATTCGCATTCCTCAATGCCCATATACCATATACCCATATACCCATTCCTATAAATCAAAAGCGAACTGAAAATGCGCTCAACTTAATTGAAGACATCAACAAGGCAATAAAAAATCAATTTTACTTAAGAACAAAACAGATTCCCAGATTCGACAGCCGAAGCATCTCGCGACTTGATTTTTTACTTGATACATATGTACATATATGCCATGTACATAAATGAGAATGAGCATGAGAAGTGCTCCTTTCATGTTGGGGCTGCTGCTGTTGCTGCTGCCAGAAATAGTCGTCGCAGCGTCGTGCTGTCTGGGTTTTCATTCAGCTTTTCCATCTTTCAATCGCCGGGTGCTGCGGAGCCTGCGTACACAAGAATTCCCCATATTTCATCACCAAACCAAACAAACAATTGGCTCAATGCGCAAATAAACAAATTTGTAATTTTAATCAAATTATTCAATAGTTTGGTATGCTCTCCTCCTTTTCCGACTTGTAATTGAGACTCTAGAGAACAAGAGTGACAGCAGAGAGAAGAGAGAGAGAGAGAGAGAGAGAGCCCGCAAATGAATAAAATATGCAAAGTAAACAAATTTTACGAGTATTTGGGGGCCTGTCTGTCCGTCATACGCAGCTGTGTGTGGAATGGGAATGTGAATGTAAATGTAAATGAATGGCCCTCTCTCCTTCGGGCAGCCGCCGAGCCACGAAACCACGAAACTTACATCATAAATAAAGCGAGCCGACAGATTGCAAATAATGCAATAAACATTGAAATTGTCTGGCTATTTATAGAGCTGTCCTACGATAAGATCGTCTGCAACTGCAATTGCACCTTTGCAGACAGAGCAGACAGAGAAGGGGTTTACGAGTATTTTTAGCCGCCAGTCGACTGTCAGGCGGTGTCTATTTATAGCGGCCAAGCGATGCCAATCGCTGCAGTTGCATGGGCTGGGGCCTGGCCCCGAGGCTGCCCTTGCCCCTGTCTTTTCTCTCTTTCTGTCCCTGTCCCTGTCCCTGTCTTCCAACACAAGTGGCGGCTCCGTTTCAAGGCTCGGCTTGGCCCATATCTGAATACCCAGATGGCCAAGAGGGCCTCTCGGCTAATTGAGGTCCCATTTTGCTGGTTGGTTTCTTGATCTACAAGTCAATATAAGTGGGAATCTATTTATAGTACATTTCCGGTTGGTTCTCGCCTGTTTGCTTATCCACCTCTCGATTCTGGTTGGCATTTGCAGATGTGTTCCCGCAACATAAAGATCTCGGTGGTGCTGTTTCTCGTCTTGATACCAATCTTCACAGCCTTGCCACACAACCACAATCTGTCGAAGCGCAGCAACTTCTTCGATCTGGAGTGCAAGGGGATCTTCAACAAGACCATGTTCTTTCGACTGGATCGCATCTGCGAGGACTGCTATCAGCTGTTCCGCGAGACGAGTATACATCGGTTATGCAAGTAAGTTAACGATCCCAAAATACCACCCATGTACCTATCGTATTATTAACACAACCCTGAAGCAGAGATCTCCCCAAAATAGCGGTCCGATCGATTTCGAATCCGATTTGCCTGAAACTGAAAGCATTTCAAGGCGAACGAAATGGAAAATACATTTTCTTGGAGTCGGATTTCAAAACTGGGGCAGAGACACCCTGACACAGATCAGATGGGAATCAGGGCAAAGAATGGTCCTTGGCTTAATGCCTTGATGCTGATGCTGATTGATCTATTCTAAACATTTTTTTTTGGAGGCCTTTCCTTTCCGATTCTGTTCTTTGACTTTCTCGACTTTCTACATCTGTGGTTCTTGTCTATTCGATGCAGGGCCAATTGTTTCGCCCACGAAACCTTCGGGGACTGCCTCAAGGTGCTGCTGATCGACGATGAAGAGATATCGCAGCTGCAGCACTCTATGAAAGTTATCAACGGATCGCCCTATCCCTTTCACAAGCCTATATTCAAATAGATTACTTATGTTTCTCCTTCCTTTCTGTTTCTGTTTCTATTTCTGTTTCCGTTTCCGTTTCTACTTATATTTCTATTTCCGTTTCTGCATCCGGTTCCGGTTTCGTTTTCCTGCTTTTATTTGACTTGAGTTTGCTTCAATTACCATTATGTTTCATTATGATTTTCGTGTTTAATTTTAGGAAAGACTGCTTTGATTCAAAATGGTTTGGCGAGTGCCTGAAAGTGCTGCTCATACCAGAAGAAGAGGTATCGAACTTGCAGCACTTTCTGAGGGTAGTGAACGGTTCGCCCATATCCTTCAACATGACGCCGGGCCAAACATAACTCTAAGATCCTGAACACCCCCACAGAGATCAAGAGCCCGAACAAAAACAAACAAATTTAATAATTTAAAACGCCCAAATTTAATTCGTACTTATTTATTACTGTAGGCCTTACAGTTTATACTATATGTGTTTTTTTAAAAACGAATTACTTTTATTAATTTATTGAGAACGTTATGCGTTTGTTGTAAGTACCATAAATCGTAGGGAAACCACCGCATGGAGATGGAGAGATGTAGAGATGTAGAGAAAGTAACGATAGAGAAAGAGAGAAGGAGTGGGTGGGTGGGTGGAAGAGACTCTACCGCCTGGAATCGAAGTATTTATCTATAAGTATTCCTAGCTTGTTTTATTATTATTATTATAATTAATATTATTGCGTTATGCGTTCTGTATATACAATAAACAAAAGATATCCATTGTTTTACATCCATGTAGAGTAGAATTATTATTTGTATTTTTGTATTTTACTGTAAAATCAGCATTTAATTTTACATCTTACACACGATAATCCGCGGAAACAAACCCCCTCCCCCTGAGAGTAAAAGAGAAGGCGCACACCTAACACACCAGACCGAAAGTATTTTGCAAATGTATTACAATTAATTTTGTAACGATTAAGCCCCTAATTAGAATAAATCAGAGAAGCGAGTGGAAATATACATATACATATGTATCTATATATGGGAATCTATATCCGCATATACCCAACACTTATCCGCACCCATACTAAACTACTAAACGCTTAGTCTTAACGCTAAAACGCAATTTGTGCAAAACACAAACAAAAAACCTTTGGTAAAAGCACACAAAAAAAATGAAGGAATACATTACAAATGTAGAAAAAAAAACGGAACGAAACATGTGAATGTAAAATAAACGAAATCATCATTCGCTGGCTATTGAGAGAGGAGAGCATCAAAATTGTGATAAATGAGAATTAGAAATGCGAAGCAGACCAGCCAGAAATCCCAGAACCAAACAGAAATCACAACCAGAACCAGAAAGAGAGCGGAACTGAGAACGAGAGAGAGACCATAGTCGGAGACGGCGAACTACGCGCGCGTTTTACACGCGACTAAAAACGCTCGCTTACCGTTTTTGTTTTGGTACGTTTTTATTTTATTTTCAATTAACTTTTGTTAAATTTTTGTTTTTGAGCTGTCGCCGTTTTGCATTTTTTTACATTTTCATATGCATACATCGGTTTGACGAAAGTTGACAATTTTTGACTTTTGAATTTTGGCTCACATTTTTTTGAGCGTGTCCAAAAATTCCCTTAAAATACCATCCATATCCGATATCTAATATGTCCACTGCTCTTTCCGGAACAGGCAAGAATGCTTCGGATCGCCCTTCTTCAACGCCTGCATAGAGGCTCTTCAGCTGCACGAGGAAATGGACAAATATAACGAATGGCGCGATACCCTTGGCCGAAAGTAAACGGGCTCTGGCACTGGCTTTGGCACTGGCACAAGCAGCTACTTAATTCTATAACCTAATCATACTATGTACTACTACTATACATCTAGCCACGAAAGTGGCAGAACCAGAATACGATACGGCACGAAACAATGGCATCAAGGAAACAAACGATCAAACGACCCGAGAAGATGACGAGAAATGTCTAAAAACTTGAAATACCTATCGATTAAGCGAGAGGAACAAAACAAAACCAAACAGAAATGTTGCAAAAAATATTAACTAAATATAACTACGACTATGAATACATATATATTGTATGCAAGTGGCGGAGAGTAGAAATTCGAATTCGTTTTGTTTTTCTTTTTTGGTTCTGGCCGATCCAGCCATCGATTCATCGATCCGTACAACAGTCTCGTGGAGCATTGAGTTTAGTTATTAGAGTATTATGATAGTTTCTTTTAGTTCTTCCATAGAAAAACCAGCAAAGCAAACGAACAAGTGAACAAACGAACAAGAATCAAAATGTCTGATGTAAATAAATTATTTGTCTTCTTTTTAAATAATTATATGCGTATGCACTTATTTATAATGCTTATATATTTTGTACATTTCCTTCATTTGGTAAGCTTAAGTTATTAACCTGTTACGGCAATGAGTTTTACGTTCTACCACCACGCGATAAACCTATACAATAGTAGACACTTTGTAAGAGTACCAGCAATCCCCAGAGAATCCACGCAATAGAATCTTAAAATTCAAATCAAATCCACTACACGACATAATTCGATGCGATTAAGCCTACCATTGCATATGCATAACTATTAATTAATTTAAACTTGTTTGGATCTAGTCGTAAAATATAAATAAAGATTGTATATTTCAAGAGGAGTCGGAGGTGATTTTAATTGCGGTGCAAAACTTTATTATAAATTCAATATACTCTCCAAAATCAACATTTCAAGTGACAAAAAATCTCCATTAGTATATCATAAATGATGCTGCAGCACCATCCCATCACTTGAGGTGAATGAAATGCCATGTGTCGACTGCAAGAACAAGAGGAATATGAGTTTAACGATATTTATTTCATATTTAAAGGCATATATACATGAGTTGAAAAGAATAAAGCAAAGCCCATTACATGTAGGTACATATTAGGATTATTTACAGTGGGAGAGTTGTAGTTTTTTGGAATTTGTGATAGTTTAGTAGCAAATTAAAGCATGCGGGTTGGGTTGGACTTTCGTGACCAATTTGTGTGCATTTTGTGGCTTAGGCGAGGATTGTTCGAATCGGGATAATGCGGGAAGACGCTGACAGCGGTTATAATTTTGATTTAACATAGTAAACCTTACCTGTGTCGAGCACTTCCTCAACCTGGCCACCCTCTGGCGCCTCGGCAAACAATTTGTCAGCTTCGTCTTTTGGGATGACGAATTCGGAATTGTGATTGGTAATGTTGGTGCTGCAAACACAAATCAAATCGGTCATTATCGGGAGATAACGTCATCGTGCACTTATAGATAGCACAAAACTCACCAAGAGATTGAGTGGTCGCCCACACTGCTCTGGTGGATCAGAGTCTGCCAGAACTTGTGGGTCTCGGCAATGATCGAAGTCGCGAAATCGGCGTTCTTCGCATCTCCGTTGAAAGCAAACTGGTTCTCTGGCTTGCCATCGGGGATTTTGTAAATCTATCAGGTTGGGAGTACACCAGGTTAGTAAGAACAGGAAGATGTACCCGCTGATGGGTCCTACCTTGAACCACTCAACAGTGGCACGCAGCAAGCCTGGGAAGTACTGATCCACATCGGAAATATCGTTGACCTTCGAAGCCAGCGGATCGTTCACATCAATGGCGATGATTTTCCAGTCAGTTTCGCCCTCATCGATGAGAGCAATGGTGCCCAGGACCTTGACCTGCATGACATCGCCCCGCTTGGCCACGCGATAGCCAATTTCAATTACATCAATGGGATCGTTGTCACCCTTGCAGCCGGTCGAGGGCTCAATGTGGTCGGGGTTCTCCCAGGTCTGCGGCAAGGCACCGTAGTTCCAAATGTAGCCCTTGTGGGGGAAGCAGTTGGCCACAAAGCGCAGCTTGCCCTTCTTGATGTCCTGCTTAATGGGGTTCATTGGCGTCTTCAGGCTGATCTATATTGTTGGACACGCAATCGTTGAATTATGTCTAGCCAAGATTTGTCTTTGCTTACCTCCATCTTGGCGTTGGTCCAACGTGGAACCTCCACCACCATGTTGTAGATGGTCTTCTCCTCATTGGCGTACAATGGAATGTCGTGCATCGGTGAGATGACATTGCCGCATTTATTTTCTGTTAAAAGCAGAATAAATTATACCTATTAACAATGACCCACGGGACACGCAATCCTCCAAAGTTGATTGATAGTCCCTGTCTGAGGTGGCATCCAGACAAAGTTCACACCCATATCTTTGCGTAACAAATTTCATCATCCAATTTAATTTCCCCAAATTCTGATATGAGCGTATATCTATATGTATGCAAACTGATAAGTTTAAACAAAACCCGAATCTAGGTATTCCCCTTTTTCCGTGCAGCGGCGGCAGCGCTGCCAACAGCTCTTTACTGATAAAGCTATGCGTTAAATAACCAGAGTCCGGATTGACTTGTTACATAACGGCCTATATGTAGCTATGATTCTACATTATCCGTAGTTTATGAATGATCTTCTTTTCTCGCACAGATGTCCAGCGATGGCACCGTCTGGGAATCGCCGCCGGGTCACATTGACCGGCCATAGTTCACACACATACAACTCATTTTTCGTACTCACTGAAATAAAGGCTGTAGCTGGGCGAGTTCTTGGCTCCCTTCTCAGCGGTTTCGTACTTGGACATGTCGACTTTTAGCGTTGGCAGACTATTTAGTTGAATATTCCTTCGGGACACTGCACCAGTAGCTTTTGCTGACGTTTGGAGAATGTTGTGAAGGCGGCCGACCACTACACGTGAATTTCTTGTAAGTGCCAACATTTTTTACCATTGCAGCCCTGCACTTATCTTTAAAATATACCGCCCCACCATCAGAAATATACGAAAATATACCGTCTCATTTAAAAAATATACCGTAAATATACTGACGAATTCAAGTTATATTATACATATTCCTCGTTTTTCATATTCCGTGCAATATAACTGACTAAATAGAACATTTAGCCATGCCCACATAATTAAATCCGATTAATTAACCTATTTTCTAATTGACTGATTTATCAAAATATAGCAATATATCGTCTTCGTTAGTTTTGCTTGCCCATTTTCGCTAAAACCTTTTTTTTTTGTTTGACCTATTTCGCTATAATATTTTTTCACGCAAAATCCAATAAAAGTAAGTATTAAGAATAAGCCAGTTAAGTAGAAAATTGATGGATCAATCGTATAAAAAGTATCGTATATTCGACGCAACATCAAAATTGAGGATATGGTTTCCAATCCTTGACGGAGAACGATTAAACAATTATAAGCCAAGGGGGTATTCCAATTTACAACCAAAAAAAAAGAAAATTTAATAACTTTAGCGCAGTTCAGGTGAAAGATATAGTGTTTTTTTTTTCTCAAGCTCAGAGAAAAAATGGCATGAATACAATCGTTAATATTTTCCGCCCTTTGAACTATTTTAATAGAGGGGGCTTAAGTGGGCTTAGTTCGGTTTTTCATCATACATCATCATCATATTGTTGTTGAGGAGCAAAAACAGCAATCGCCGTAGCAAGAAAACAAGTCAAGTATTCAAAACAAACCGGCCAAGTAGAAAATTGAATCATTAATCGGATAAAATTATGTGGGCAGGACTGAAAGATCTAGATAGCTAGTAATATTCCACGGAATATTAAAATTGAGGAATATAGAATTTGAATTCGTCAGTATATTTACGGTATATTTTAAAAATGAGACGGTATATTTTGATATATTTCTGAGTGTCGGTCGCATATTGTCGTCGTGTTTCCTCGTGTTGGGGAAAATATTAAATAAAAGTGTTTTTGTAGGTTTTCTTTGGCGTTGTGTGCCTAAACTCAAGCTGTGGCGTGGTCCGCATCTGAAAAAACCTAAGTTAACATCCCATACGACACAGCTTTGCTTCTTTTCGGTTCGCAAATCGAAGACCTTGGCAACAAGTAAATTTCCCCTCTTTCCGACAAAATGCAAAACTTCAAGCAGAGAGGTACGAACAGAGGCAATCAGCGCCGACCAAGACCAAACCATGTTGGTGAAGCTGCTCCAGTTGTAAAGCCCGCAGAGGTTTTACCTCTGGACACAAGTAATGATGACAACGCCTGTGTGGTCTGTTTCAAGAACTTTGACATATACTCCATTGGTGATTGCGATCATCCTGTTTGCTATGAGTGCTCGACGCGAATGCGGGTGCTGTGCCAGCAAAACGAATGTCCGATTTGTCGGCATGTTCTGTCCAAGGTAATTCCGTCTTTCATTCACCATCTGCACCTGAAATAAACAATTTTTCCCTTAAAGGTTCTGTTTACACTGGAGAAGCTACCGTATCGGGAGCTGGAGGCAAATAGCCGCTCGGACTTCTACAGTAAAAAGTATCGCATTGGCTTCTGCACAGCCGAAATTCAGCAAAAGTTCTTTCAGCTGCTCGATCATCCTTGCCCAAAGTATGTACTTATTTTTGCTCAAGGTGATTACCCTCCTCTGACTCCTTTGCTGTTGCCCACGTAGATGCGAGGCGCCTCCATATCGGACGTTTGCAGGACTTCGCAATCATGTGCGGAGCGAACACAACTTGCATTACTGCGATCTGTGTGTGGAAACTCTGAAGATATTCACCTTCGAGCGGCGATGCTACACCCAGAGCGAACTGAGCTTGCATAATAACAAGGGCGATCCAGACAATCGCTCCCACCGCGGGCATCCGCTGTGCGAGTACTGCAAGAAGCGATACGTGGACAGGGATGAGCTGTTCCGGCATTTGCGACGGGAGCACTACTTCTGTCACTTCTGCGACGCCGATGGCTGCAACGAGTTTTACAATGACTATAGCGATCTGGCTGACCATTTCCGGCAGGAGCACTTTCTCTGCGAGGAGGGGAAGTGCGCAACGGAGCAGTTCGTCGGAGCTTTTCGCAATGAGATTGAGTACAAGGCCCATGTGGCCAATATGCATGGCAAGTCGCTGAACAAGCAGCAAGCCAAGCAGACACGCACTCTACAGCTTGAGATTACACTTGGACCGCGCGGACGCAGCGGGCAGAATGAACAGGGCATAGCCAATATGAGATCGCGGTGAGTGGGTGCACAACCCGAAGGCTGTATATCTAAATGTTTTTGGTATTTTAGAAATGATGAAAACCACGACTATTTGGATGATTTTCCAACGTCGACATCGCAGCGCGGGCATGCTGTCAGCATCGATGCTGGCAACGAGGAGCAGTTTCCAACGCTACGTGGCGCTGCCACAGGTCCCAGCGTATCGTTGGTAAGGCCCCCGCCGCCTTCGATGCGCAATCTCAGTGGCAGCTCTGGACTGGCACGGACAAAAGAGAACTTTCCAGCCCTTGGCGGGGGCATCAGTAGTGCTGTAGCAGCTAGTAGTAGCAGTCTAGCGGCCAGAGCTGCTCAGTCCCAACATCCGGTGGCAGCTGTCTTCAAGAAGTCGGCGAACGCTGTCTCTGGTGCCAATCGATCTGTTCCGGCCAATAACGGAATGCTTTTGCATGTATCAAATCGTCCATCGGCGACAAAGAAGCCAGCGACTCCGCAATTCGATTTCCCCGCTCTGCCGCCCGGCAAAGGAAAGAAGAACATGCGCAATTTGGAAGAGGATATGCTGCCTAGTACCTCTACCGTGCCCATGACGAACCTTTCGGCCAAGCATCGCACTCTGGTCGATGACTATGTGTCGGTGGCCAATCCGAACACCTATCACAAGCTCCAAATGGTTCAAAAAGAGGAATCCGAAGCTAAGGCACGAGCGGAGGCAATGAAAAAGAACGCTCCAAAGCTAACATCAGCCGAGTTTCCCACCCTCGGACCATGTGCCAGCACCAGCAGGGCGGCCGCCTCAAGGCCAAGCAACGGATCGGCTGCTTCCTTAAATTGGTCCAAACCCACATCGGAGAAAAAACAGCGTGAGCTAGAGAATCGCAAGGCGAAGGTTGCACCTCCACCAGTGCTGCCGATCCCCAAGAGCGTTCCAAAGGCCAGCAACAACAACCAAGAGCAGCAGGCAAACAAAAAGGATAAAAAACCAAAGGACAAGAAGAACAATCAGGAGAACCAACCGAAGGGCGGCCAACCTAAGCAGAAGGAGAAGAATAATAATAGCGAACAAAAGCCAACAACCAATGGCACTGCATCGACTCCGGCGCGTACTCCACCTGGACTCGGTGCTGGACCACCACTCAAGCCGCCGCCTGGATTTATCTCAAATGTTAAAGTTAACTCGGTCGCCAAGTTACCCAATAACCTGACATTCACCAGTTCGCTGGGCGAGTCCTATGACATTGTACCAATGTCATATTCCTATACCGATCCACCAGATACCACAGCCAGGAATCAGGTAAACCCATACAAATTACACATATAAATGGCTATATCTTCTAATTTTACTTTGCGTCTTTAGAATCTGGTCGACAAGTTCAGAGAGATACTTAAGACGCCAGAGGCACTGAACGAATTTAGATCGTTGTCTTTCAAGTTTCGTGATGGCTCCTGCAATGGTCAAGCGTACTATGAGCACTGCCAGTGTGCAATGCTGGATTCATTTCACGCCCTGTTTCCGGAACTCCTTGTGATGCTGCCCGACATAAGCAAGCAACAAGTAACCGCCTTAAATTATGAAACCGTCCAACTGGAATTTGATCCTCTATCTTCTCGTACTTTTGCAGGAGCTCTATTTGGTGTACAAGCAGAATTTGAGCCAAATATCACCCGCCCAGCGCAAATCTCTACCCAGCCTAGAAGTGTGCGCCGTATGCAAGCAAGTCCTTTTGGCTGGCGATATGGGTATCCATCGGAAGGCGCATGAATTATCGCAGAACTTTCCCAAGCTAGGAAGCACATCCCCGAATCTACAACGTAACTAAGAGTAAACAGCAGAGGACAACAAAAGCTTTATCCTGTATATTTTTTATGTATATATTTGAATGGATCATCCACTCGACACGCCCCTGAATATGTTGTATATGAAAATCAAAATTTAAAGATAGTCCTTCTATGATTTGGAACAATAAGTGGACTGTTTATGTGACGTTGCAAACGTTTCATAACCCAAAGTCCTGGCAGTAATTGCGTTTTTAAATTTTAACTAGTGAGCTTGTGTGTCTGAAATACCCGCAACCGAATACAGTGCAAATCAATAAAGTAATGGTAATCAGCCCACAGAAATTAGTGTGTCAACCAACATAGGGTCGGATCCTAATCAAATGGTAACAAATGGGAAGGGAAGTTGGCGATAAGCTTATCATTTAATCAATATTTGCCATTTACATTCCCTGCCTTTGCAAAATATTGATAGGATAATGATAGTCAAACATTTCTATTTTATTTTATCCAATTTAGTGATTATATCAAAAGAAGAAGAGTAGGGAAAACCATTTTGAATTTCGATTGTTACCGCGCTACGACGCGCTAGACCATTTTCCTTCAACATTCGGCGTACGCGTTAAGCCATTTTAACAAAATGGAGCGGCGCGAGGATGCACTTCGGCAGGTTTCTGGATATTTTAATTGTTTTATAGGGAAATAAATTACAAAATTGGTTGGTTTCAGGCCATCGATGATAATGCCAAGGAAACGGATCGTTGGCAGACATACAAAACCGATAATGAGACCGCCATTCGAAATTTAGAACTGTTCGCCAAGAACCTCAGCGTGGAGGTTATGGTGCCCATTGGCAGGAAAGCTCTGATGCCGGGCCAGCTCATACACACAAATGAGCTACTGGTGAGCCACAACGAAGGATACTTCTCGGCATGTTCGGCGCATAAGGCTAAGGAAATATGCCAGCATCGCCTTAGGCTGGCGGAGGAACGCTTGAAAAAACTTGAGACCGAAGCTAACCTGTGGCAGTAAGTTGATCCAATAATTGCACTTGGCAGAGCTCAATCCTTACGATCGTATTTCAGAAACAAATTGAACGCGCCACTTGCGGAGGGCGCTATGGCGGAAGCTGGGCAGGTGGAAATCATTGAAGCCTACAACGAGGAAGCTGAAATCAAGTGGAAGGAGCAACACAAAGAAAATACGCGCAGGATGAAACAAGCGGAGCGCAAGGAACGTGAAGCAAAACTCAATATGTGCGAAGATAAGTTACAAAAATTGGAGGAACTCGACATAATAGAAGAACTGGGTCTGGACCCTGACAGTGCAGATCCCGAGATGCTCGAAGAGCTGCTGACAAAGATTGGAGACAAACCAGCTGAAAGGAAAGCCACGGAAGAGGAGCCCATTAATTTAAAACTTACTGAGGAGGAGGAATCCCAAATTCGGAACACAGACCAACAACTGGTGCATCAATTAATGTCTGGTGAAATAAGGCAAAGTTCGTCGAAAAAACGTGTAGCAAGAGCTCCAAATAAAAGTGATAACGACACCAAGAGTGTGAATAATGGCAAAGTTAATGGCCAAGAAGAGATCCAGACTGTTGATGATAAAGCTGATGTCCAAGAAGAAAAGGCGCAAACTACTACAGAAAATGTATCCTTGTTGCCCAGTGTAGAACGTGAAGACGAAAGAGAAAGTGTGGAAGATGAACCTGTCGACCAGGAAGAGGAGGTGCATACCATTCGAAATCAGATATCGCTGTTGCCCAGCGAAGAACGTGAACCATTCCTGAGGTCCCAGCTGGAGGTTCTAAAGGCGAAAATGCGTAAAATACAAAGAGTTAAATTTATAAGCGAAGAGCTGACTCATTTAATGAATGTGGTTGTCACGCTGGAAGATGACCTCCAGGAGTTGATTTTTGAGAACGATCTGGTTGAAGCTAGCGACGATGAGGAGGCTTCCATTGAGGAGGTGGACCCTAAAAAGCGGCGTATTTCCTTTGCTTTATCAGAGGAGAAGCTTGAATTCCATACCCACGAACCCGTTGCCGAAATGTTGCCAAAGGCAAAGCAGCGGGCCCGTGAAGTTATAAAGCTGGATGAACCAGCGATTCAGACATTTGCTGCAGTGCATCAAGAGAAAGTAAGCAACAAGAGCTCGGAGATATTGCAAAAGGTTCAGCAGAACGTTGATTATGTCCAGGAGAATCAGAGTGCCCAAGATTTTGATTTGCTTAACCGAATACTTGAGGAGTCAACTGGACGCATCAACACATTACACATCAGCTTCAAACATTCCGATGCGGTGCCTGCTGCGATGCCTGAATGCCTCGAAGGAACGCCTGGGACGCCGGCAGATTTCTACGTGCAGTATGAGAATGCGTTGGCTAAGGCACAGCCCACTTTTCCCATATACGTGAACGGTTTCGAAGGCGAGCACGAACTGAAAGTGCCCATACTGAATGAAACTGTGCGCGAGGGGGCCTACGAGGATCCTCGAGCTCAGGTAAGGCATATCCACAGGCCAGCTTAAGACAAATCGATAACCACTTTGTTTTGCAGTTTTCCAAGCCAGATAAGAGTGCTACCGAAGCCGTTGATGAACCGTTATCGAAGTCAATCCTGAGAAACAAATCTGCTGTTGAGCGCGAGTCCCACATAGGCACAAAACAGACGAAGAAGGCAAAGAAGGGCAAAGTCAACAGGCCAAAGAAGGAGCGCACCCTGGACGATGATCTGCGCGACATGAGTGCCTATCAGAAGGTGATGCACGACCTGGTGGAGACTAAGGAACCAACTGCGCCTGACCCCCTGCCCAAGGAAAATTTCATAGACGCGCATACCCCCAAGAAGCGAGTCAGCCGCTTCAAGCAGCAGCGTTCGTCGCTCCGCAAAACGTAGCAAAATAATTGGAGTTTCTTCAATTTACTTTCTATGTATATTTGTTCAAGTTTAATGTGGTGATCTATTACAAACACAACGACAAACAATAAACAACTACTGGTGTGGTGTACATAAATTATTAAATTAAACACTAGACGCTAGCTAGTCCGTTTCAACGGAATTTATTTTTAAAACATTTACAGTAGATATCAATTTACATTAGATTAGATTTAAGTCGAGAGATGTTTTTGATTACAATTTCAATGCATGACGATGTGGGCGGGTCGGGGGTCTGGAGTGTGATTTGGGAGAGTACTCAGCGAAAGCTGATCTGTGCGCGATCGCTTAAAAGTATTTAAAGTTAACTACTAATACATACATAAAGTACAGATCTTATACATAGGTGCCGTACCTAGATACATCTACATCAATATGTAACTGATAACTGTTTCAATTGCTTTATTTTTGTTTTTTTGTGTTAAGTTGTGTGGGTTGGGTTCCGCCTTCGAAAGCCTCGCAGACATTCTAAATGTCAAAGTCATCGTCAAATAGTTAGTCTTCCAGCCCCAGAAACTCCCGCTCCAGAGCGGCTCCCATCATATTCCATTCGCCATCGTCCTCATCCTCTTGATTGTTTTCACTGTTCGAGTCCGAACCAATTTCCAAATCTGACGGCAGCTCCTCCCCTGAAAGAAGCCAAATTGAAGTTAAGGAATTGATAAATTATTGGTAAATTTTAATTATTTGAGAGCCAACCTCGTCGGAATTTAGCGCTTGGAATCTCATCGTCATCGTCCTCTTCGTCTTCGTTATTGTCATCGCGCTCGCGATCATCCTCCTCAAAGTTAGCTAGAGTCGGCGCTCCCATCATCACATCTCCAGTGCGCATAAAGAAATCGTGGGCCCGATTCGAATTCTCGTCCTCACGCTTGCGTTTCAGCAGTTTCTTGTCCATGGGTGGATTTTCTAAGGTTCAATATAATAGTCGCAAATAAATATAAATGTTCGGATAGAATATTTTGGAGTGGGGCCTTACCAAAGTTGACGGGTCCTTCGTCACTGGACGAATCAGACTCGAAGAACGTATCGTAGTCTTTATTCATGTCCGCAATCTCCGCATTTGATAATACCAGCAACGGATTTAGGGTTTCCCGAAAGTTTCCACTCTGCTCCTCCTGTTGCTTGCTGCTCGACGGGGATATCTCCGATCTCTCGCTGTAGTTGACCACATGTTCGGGACTGTGGCAATGGGCGGGCGGCTGTCGGCCTTTATTCCGCACTTTGCGATCCAATGGAAACAGCTTCTCCTCTACATGTTCCCAACGCTCGGCACAGGTCCACAGCCAATTGGCATTGACCACTCTGATGTTGACCTCCTTCTTGGCGGCATTTACCTTGTAGGTGCCGGCATTAACGGCCACCAGATGTGTGCTTTCCTTACTGATGTTCGGCTGCACTTCGGCCCCCAGGCTCTTGGCTATGAAGTAGGCACGAGACTGTTCCAGTCTCATTTGCGTTGGCACTAAGCCAGAAAACACAAGATTCTTTCCGCGCAGCACTTCACATCGAATTTTAGGCACAATAATCTTCAAGTCTGGTATCTCCATGGTCTCGTCGTAGATCGCATAGAAGCGCTTGTGTATGTTGCGCAGTATTACCTCCAAATAGAGTAAGTAGTCATCCGGGTCCTCAATCTCAATTAGTTTTCCTTCGTCGTGGTTGACTTTGACGATTGGACTTGTTGAAGTGGTGGCCGCATCTTCTACGCTAATTTGGTTCTCCTTATCCGTTAGACTAGTAGACGACTCCACCAGGTCATTCGTTTCGTTCGCCTCGGCTGAAGCCTTTGAGTCAATTTCCGTGTTGCCATCAACTTTAGGCACACTTGTGCTATCCTTGGAATTTTCAGATACCACATCGTCTACCACTATGTCTTCGCTATCGCTGGCTGGCTTTTGTGGATCAGGCGTGCCAGATGAACTATTATCTATAAGCGTATCCATTTCCGTATCCGCCTTCCCGTTGAGCTTGTCCGACAACTCCTTTGATTCTGTGATAATTGTGGTGTTGGTCACCTCTGCATCTTTTGCGTCGCTTTCCTGCTCTACTACGTCAACGGATTCTTCATTTCCATCCTCATCTTTGCTTGTGCTTGATACAGTATTATCGCCTTTATCGGGGTCTTCAGTTTTTATTTCGCTCTCCACATCTGCCTTATCTTTTTCCTCTTCTTTTTCAGTCATATCTGCAAGAAATAAATCCTATAATGGTGTTTGCTGATGATTTGGATCCGGAACTAACCTTTAAAGTCGACTCCTTCTCCATCCAACTCGTGCTTGGACAGTCCCGGCGGAGCATTGATGTCGCCGGTGTGCTGGAAGAAATGGTAAGGCTTGACTTGGATCAAATTAGACGCCATGTTCCAGACATCCTCTCGATCGTCAATGATGCACACCATCGAATCACCATTCGGAAATAAAGCCCTGCAAATTTTCCATTAAATTATTGCCCATAAAACATATTCAGGGGCTTCCACTCACTTTAAGTTGTCCGTCTTGCTGGTGGCATTGAAGCATTCATCGCGGGACAGTATGCGGTGCGAGAAGAACTTGCCGTCCGGGTCGAGCAGTTGAGCAATCATGTGTGCATAGTTCCGGGCGCCGAATGTGCAGATGTGTAGCTCGTACAGCTGGGACATGCGCTCCAAGAACTCGGCTGTGCCAGGGCGCAGTCGCGTGTGGTACCAAGGCGACTGCGGGCCATATAGCTGGAAGTGATAGATACCCTTGATATTCTCCGGTACGGTGTCGTTGGTGGTATGGATGACCGTCTGGTCGAGATCAACGAGAAGCACCAACTTGCGGTCAGCAAGAAGTCGCCGTGTGTCGTCATGGCCAAGCTTCTGGGCCAGTTTTTGGGTGACTTTGAGGTCAGGCATGGTGTGCACCATCGGCACCGAGGCCTCAGAGGTTTGGCCCTTTCGGAGAGGGAAAATTATGAAATTAGTTCGTGTTACTCAACTGGGAATGTTCAAATTTTGACACTTACATTGTCATCCTTTCGCAAATCGGCTCCGCAGTCTGCGCACATATCCTTGATGACGGTTGTGTGTATGCATTCCGACAACTCCAGAATCGCATCCCTGCAAAAGCAAATAAAAACAAAACCATGCTCAAAATGTGTGTATACCCCCATCTGAGCGACGTTGTGCATAATTGCATTCCACCCACAACCCAAACCCCAACCCCACACCAATAAAAACAACAGCAAAGCCCCAACAGAGTTGGGAAAACTCACCCCTTCACTATCATTTCGCCGTCTTTACGAAGCCGCTTTTTGACAACTCCGGCCCGATTTGATTTGTATTTTTGGACTGTCATGTTGCCGGCCTTTGAAGGCTTGCCGTCGTCCCCAACTTCCTGGTAGAGAAACAGGATTTGTGCGGCCGACACGAATTGCCCTTCGCGTACGCGCCATTTATTGATTCGTATGCGTGTCTCTGTATCACTGAGTGCTGCATTTACAACAATGCCGTTCGCGCTTCCGCCGCCGCCGCCGATACCGCCACCGCCGCCTCCATCATCACCATCCTTGCTGCTATTGCCTGCAATCCGGCTGGAATGCGCAGTTTCTTCCTGGCCAAGCTTCTCCATCTTGTATTTACAATATTTTTAATACAAATATAATCAAGATTGTTCAAATCTCTGTGCCATTCTCTGTGAATACGTCGACATAAATTGACATTCACTGGGAATCAGCTGATCAAAGGTGGCGCTGCATCCCTGGCATGCAAACGGCGCTAAAATTATTCACGTTCTCAGAAAACTCTGCTTCGGCTTGTGTTTTTGTTTGTTGTTAGGAAAATAGCGTGCAAAATGAGTGAAACAAACTCTAAGGAGGATCTGAAACGGAGCGCCCCAGCGGAGGAAGATGAACAAAATGCTGAACCTGCAGGAGAAAACGATGCCGATGGTGAAGATTCAACCTGGATTGGGCCAATGCCTTCGGAACAAAGTGCTGTGCCCGCCAAGAAAAAGAAGGGTAAATAGTCAATGTTCTGTCAATTGTTTGATTGCTTCTCAATGAAATGGTTATGCTTTGTGCAGTGCTGCCGTATGAACACATCTTCCTGGAGAACCTGCCAAACGCCGAGAGCTATGAACGGAGCTACATGCATAGAGACGTGATCTCGCATTTGGTGTGCACGAAAACGGATTTTGTGGTTACCGCCAGCTTGGATGGGCACATTAAGTTCTGGAAGAAAGGAGAGCTGGGCATTGAGTTCGTCAAGCACTTTAGAAGTCATCTGGGTAGGTGGACATGTAGTTTCTTTTGACATTCATGTTCACAGCGTACGGATATTTATAGTGCCAATCAAGTCGTTGTCTGCAAATGCCAGTGGCACATTGCTCTGCTCGGCTGCGACCGATCAAACAGCCAAGGTCTTTGATGTGGTGAACTTTGACATGATAAATATAATCCGCCTAGGCTACACTCCCCAATGTACCGAGTGGATAAGCGCTCCAGGAGATGCCGTCCAAGGACTGGCCATGTAAGCTGGTTCATTGAGAGCTGAAATGCTCAGTGGAGTAACTTTAATGATTATTTTATATACAGCACGGATGCGGAAAGCAACTTTATACACATTTACGATGGACAGAGCGGGGGTCAAGTGCTGCACACCTTGGAGAAGATGCACGCGGCCCCTGTGGTCGCCATGTGCTTTAATGTGGCCATGGAGACGGTTATATCGGTTGATCGTAAAGGTATATTGGAGTACTGGCAAACCCCAAAGTATGATTACAGATTTCCCCAGCGCCTGGTGAATTTCGAGTCCAAACTGGACACAAGCCTCTTTGAGTTTGCCAAACAGAAGACCCAAGTAACTGGCATAGCAGCTTCGCCGGACGGCAAGCGTTTCGCCGCCATTTCCACAGATCGCAAGGTTCGCGTATTTCAGTTTAATACGGGAAAGATGATAAGAGTATTTGACGAAGCGCTCTCCACGTACACGCAACTACAGCAGACGCCGCACGCATTGCCAAACATGGAGTTTGGTAGAAGGTAAATGCTATAATTTTTGATTTAAATATTAACATTAATGGAGGTTTTTTTAGAATGGCCGCCGAACGCGATCTGGAGAAGACGGCGCAAAATACAACACTTAACATTCTTTTCGATAGCACTGGCAACTTTTTGCTCTATCCAACCATGCTGGGCATAAAAGTGATCAATGTGGTAACAAATCGGTGCGTAACCATTCTGGGCAAGACGGACAACATACGGCCCCTGCAGGTGGCCTTGTTCCAAGGCAGGGTGAAGAGGCAGAAGGCTGCAATAACGCTCGAACAAGAGGCGAGCGAAAACCCAGCGTTGCACAACTATTTTAATGATCCAACAGCTTTTTGCACAGGTTACAAGTTAGTTTCAATGTTCGTCACAGACTGTCCGATTTACTTATACGTGTCTCAATCGTTTGCTAGGAAAAACCGCTTTTACTTGTACAGTCGAAGGTTGCCCTCGGATCTGCAGGATGTTGACCGTGATATATTCAATGAGAAGCCATCGAAAGAAGACATTATTGCAGTGCCCGAGGCCACAGGTATTCACATATTTCTCTTCTATTTAGTTAAGTGTTCACTAACAACTTTATTTTTTCCCTAACGCAAACACTTTTTCAAGACGAAGGTTATACTTACTCATATGTATGCCCATTCAAGATATATATTCATTCAAACTGCTTAATCATTTTAGTCGTGCAACGTATATATGAGAACGTGGTGCTACACACCACCAAAGGAGACGTACATATAAAGCTATTCTTTAAAGAAGTACCGAAGACAATCGAGAATTTCTGTGTTCATGCGAAAAATGGGTAAGATCTAACATATACTTAGTCTTTACTTTCTTTTTACACGGTCTGCATTATCCAGGTATTACAACGGGCATATATTCCATCGTGTTATCAAGGGATTCATGGTCCAAACGGGTGATCCCACGGGTACTGGAACTGGCGGTAAGTCAATCTGGGGTCACGATTTCAAGGATGAGTTCGTACCTAGTCTGAAGCATGATCGTCCGTATACGGTTAGTATGGCAAACGCTGGCCCCAATACAAATGGTAGCCAATTCTTTATAACAGTCCTGCCTACTGTAAGTATTTCAATATTTTTCCCAACTAGTTGACACTTTTTAAACCATAATTCTTTGTAGCCTTGGCTGGACAATAAGCATACTGTTTTTGGTCGGGTGTACCGAGGCATGGAAGTCGTTCTTAATATTTGCAACACAAAAGCGAATCCCAAAACGGACAAACCCTACGATGATATCAAAATAATATCAATACATTTAAGTAATTAGGCAAATTTTTAAATAATAAATGTGTGCTTTTGTCCCTCAAAATATTCTCAAATTCAAACACAAGATTTCTAATTTTCTAATATTCGAATAGCGTTGTAATCCTACATCTTCGAAAATCTGTATGCCCCTCTCACTAAAGACATGTATCATTTTAGTTTGTCTAAAAAGAAGAAGTTATATCTACAATTGGATCCTATTCAAAATCTGTTTTTTCAGCTCGTCAGTTAGCAAAGACTAGTGTCATACGCCCAGATACTAATAATGTACTTGAATATGTCTGAAGAATATGTATAAATTTGAGAAAAGGTCTTTATAAATTACGAAATTATAAATTATTAAATTATCGAAATAGGGTATACAGCTCCCTATACACGCATCTTGTCTTCAAATACCAGCAACATTGCGACTGTTTTTTTGGTTGAACTTTTTTGTTTAAACCATGTTTTATACAAAATACAATAAAAGCAAGGACTAAAAACTAGCCAGTTAGCTAGAAAATTGATTAATCAATGGCCTAAAATTACGTGGGCAAAACTTAAAGTTTTAGTTAGCCAGAATTTTTCAACGGAATCTCAGAATTGAACAATATGGCTTAATCCTTGACGGAGAACAATTAACCTATTATAGGCAAAGGGGGTATTTCAATTTTGCACCGAAAATAATGAAAATTGACTAATTTTAGCGCAGTTCAGTTGAAGGATATAGTGTATTTTTAAGTTCAGAGGAAAGATGGCATTGTTCTACAAGAAGAATTTACAATCGTTAATATTTTCCGCCATTTACCTCAAGTAGTTGGACCATTTAAAGATAGGGGGCTTAAGTGGGCTAAGTTCGGTTTTTCATCATAACCTGTTGTTGTTGAGGAACCAAAATTGAGGCAAAAACAATCAAAGAAATCGCCGCAGCAGGAAAACAAGTCAAGTATTTAAAACAAGCCAGTAAAGTAGACAATTGATTCATTAATCGGATAAAATTATGTGGTTGTAGCTGATGGTCCTGTCAAGCTGGTAATATTCCACGGAAGATCAAACACGAGGAATATGTAAAATAGAACTTGAGTTCGTCAGTATATTACGGTATATTTTTTAAATGAGATGGTATGTTTCGGTATATTTCTGGGGGTCGGAAAGGCCACACTGACCAGCTGTTTTTGCATTGTTTTATTATTCCTTTTGTTCGTAAAAAACTTTATTAACATATAAAAGTAATACAATTAGATAGCGCTATTGATCCCAATATTATTACTGACTCCTGTTGTGGTGTTTTTTATAATATAAGATCAAAGTGAAACGAATACTATTAGTTAAGGTAAATAGATTTGTATTCAGCTATAAAATTGTTTATGGCCGAAGAGAAAATAAAGAAAATGCAAGTTTTCGATTATTGATAATCTATAAACTGCAATGAATACGTACAAGAATAGTTCTGAGCTCTGCTTCCGATTGCGAGCCTGGTTTGTGGCTCAAGTTTACTAACGTACATATACATATAAGAACATAGTAAATATATTTATAATTCGGTATAACCCGTATTATGTGGAGACTAATTCAATTCTTATCGGCGTAAACCTAATTGACTATTCATTTGCCTTTGAGTTAGTCATACATGAGCTCCTCTATAGGGGAGCTCTTTAGAGCTAACCTCCTTTCCCTTTGTTCTGATTTCTTACTATCAATCAAAGATAAACACAATGTAGGAGTTTTTAATTGATAACCAATATTCTGGTGTCGTTTTAGCGGATAATAAAAATGAGCTAAGTTTAGTGACAACCAACTGCCATGCCTCAAAGTGATTCAGTGGATGCCCGAAACGCTGCTCAGTTCATTTTGTCGAATGCGCGACAGGGGAATAATGCCTATCACATGCAATATGATATGTGTAAGTACAGCTACAGCAATACTTTGCTGGGTTAACTCGGTCGCATTTTAACTTCAGCGCGAGCACATTCTATCAACTTGATAACCGAGGACTTTCTTGCCGGTTACATGCAAGATGGACGAATGTCTGTGGTGCGACGCTTCTTCTGCCTCTTCGTTACATTCGACCTGGTGTTTGTGTCACTGCTGTGGCTCATTTGCATAGTGGTATGTCATTGATTGTGTTAAGCAAACGCGGTGACAGCAACGATAAGCTTTGATTTATTTCGATTTTCAGATTGATGGCGATAATATATTCCAGGCGTTCCACAAGCAAATTGTGGAGTACACAATCTATACTTCGCTTTTCGATGTGGTTGCCATAGCGCTCTGTCGATTCATAGTCCTAATCTTTTTCTATGCCATGATGTACATCAATCATTGGTCCATTATAGCAGTATGTTCATATCTATGGAGATTGGTGTTCTGATACTGATAAGAGAATCCTTCCTTGCAGCTTTCAACGAGTTGTTCGTGCTTGTTCCTCATCTCCAAGGTTTTTGTTTTCAATGTAAGATATACCATACTGCACACCCAAAGGGAATTTTTAAACAAGCGTGACCTTTATTTTGCCTACAGTGGCTGCAAGCCAAGCAACAAGTTTTCGAAGTCATCCTCATAATCACATCATTTATACTGGCCTGGGGCGAAGCCTGGTTCCTTGACTGTCGGGTCATACCGCAGGAACGACATGCCCAGCACTATTTTAGGTGTAAGTGCAGTTCGGCTCCCTTCTTCCTTCAAGATGTTAATTATTGCTATTCTATTGTAGCCCATATTTCGAATGATCGTACACCTTTGGTACAGCCGTCAATCTTGATTGAAAATGAGCGACCGCCACAGAGTGTGACTGATTTTTATTCACCGCTAGACACCGCTCGCCACTCTGACGAGGAAGATGAAGAGGTAAGCTATTCATGTATGCGCATTCTAAAAAAAGGTTTGAATAAAACATAGTTCGCCTGGCGACTATAAAAGATTCTGACCGATTCATTTTGACGGTACCAAAAACACTGTTTCAATGTTTTCGGTAGTTGTATGGCCACAAATAGCAATTGTTCTTCCTGTCAACTAACTTGCCCCTGTTTGGTACCGTTTCAGGATGAGGAGTATCACCAAATGGCCTTGGATTGCCTGCGCAAAGCCTATCAGATCATTGAGTCCAGTGACTGGAAAGTGGAGAAAGTAACCCACAAGGGCGACACCATTCACAGCATGCAGCGGGAAAAGACAGGAAAAATATACAAACTGACGGTGCGTTAGACTCCGTTTTCTCAGACTGATGTGTTAACAGGAATTTATTTCCTTTTGCAGGCCCGCATCAAATATCCCGCCAAGGCTCTTATGGAAACTCTATTCTACCGCATTGAGGACTGTCCAAAATGGAATCCGGCCCTACTGGAATCCAAAATAGTGCGCGTAAGTGCATGAACAAGACTCCAGAGAATATCTCTGATCATGTACAACATATCTTTCACTCAACAGAAAATAAATTCTTACACGGACATTACATACCAGGTGTCCACCGGAGGTGGTGGTGGGATGGTAAAGAGTCGCGACTTTGTCAACTTGCGGTCGTGTCGTCTGTTTTACAATGGCCAAATCTGCGACGACGATGATGTGGCAAAGTTGAGCAGCGACGATGACGATGACGACAACAGCACCCTGAACCGCTCCTGCGAGGGCAGTGTTAGCACCATATCTGATGGCGACTCACAAACGCCCCTGCCCGGCAGTGTATCCAGTTGTCGGGCAAAGTTTCCCAACGCATCTGTAGGTCCCTCAACGCCCTTCAATACACTGGGCAACAGTCTGGGCGCAAAGAGTTTGGGGCCAGTTGTAAATTTTGATGAAGACCCACCGCCGTTGGACGAAGATGAGTTTTCAGATGCCAAAGAAAAATTGGATGGCGAGGCAGATCAAGAGACCGTGACAAAGCCCAGCAGCGTTGGCAAGACGACAGATAAGGTTTGGATGAGCGCAGCGATTAGTGTGCAATACGCTGCCGTTCCGCCCACATCCAAATACACAAGGTGAGGCTGCACAAAAAAGGGAAACATTATGTGATAAATTCATTCTCATAACTCAACATCCAATTGCAGGGGCGAGAATATTGTCACCGGGTTTGCATTTCGGGAAATCGTTGGAAAATCGGACAGCTGCATCGTGGAATGGGTACTGTGCCTGGACCTAAAGGGGTACATCCCTCGCTACGTTCTGGATGCAGTGAGTAGTCGTTAACATTAGTCATTGAATGCCGGCCATCTCACATGTTTTTCCTTTCAGGCACTCACCTCCTCCATGACTGACTACATAACGAATCTGCGCAAGCATGTAAACGAGCTGCGACAGCGGGGTCGTGGACGAGTGCCGCGGATAAACTAGCCCCTCGAGTGGGAGCGTGCAACCGAAATGGGCGGAAGCCCATATTCAAACTGTATTCTAATTGTAATCTAACTGCATCTCACGAGTGTGCTTGCGTAGAGTGGCCAGCAAACGATCATCTGTAGGAATATTTCAATAATTATAGAGCAGGATCAAGTTCATTGCAGTATGTTTAATGATTATATGTATGTATCTATATGATAATGCGTAAGTTTTATGCATATGCACGGCTTATAAATGTAACATTTTACATGATTTTATGTCTCGGATTTCCCCATTTAGTCGCAGCTGCAGCCACAGCCGCAGCATCTGCCTGCCTGCTGCTGATATTGTATTAATCGTAGGCTTGAGATCACTTCTAGGAGGCGCAGTCGGAGGGCGTGGTCCTATTTGCTATCGTTCTGTGGAAACCACATGGGACACGCCTCCATGGCCACCTCGCATACGGCACTCATCTTGGCATTGTCATAGTCTACATGAAAATCAAGAGTCAAGTCATTTAATGATCCCAAGGAGCAGCACCGACACTTACCCAAGCCGTTGCGCTTGCCAAAAATGCTGCCATTGAAGGGTGGCTTCCTGTAGGCCGCCTCGCTGGAGCTTAGCAGAATGGCTGTCGCCAGGATGGTCACCAGCAGCAGAGTGAGTGTGAATCGGAGAGCCATTTTGAAGTCTTCAGTGAGCGTTGTGGGCAGTGTTTGACGATTGGTCCTGTTGTGAGTGCCTGAAGCGAGCGAATGGTTCTGTGTCCAACCAA